GATATAATCTCTTTGACCTTTCCAAATTTATTTTTTCAATTAATAATATTAAATAAATCACTCTAACTTAATTGATTTCATTTGATTTTTAAAAAAAACTATTAATTTCATTAATATTACTCAGACATACAACAGGATCAAATAGATCCAATTAACCATATATTTATTTATATTTAAACTAGTTTTTTTACGGTCATGTCCGATATTAATACAGAAGCATTTTTAAAGGAAGTTGATGCTTTATACAATTCACAAAATAAAACGAGAAATTTATTATTAAAGGTGAAGATGTTAGAGACGGTGATAATGATGAGGAGGATAGTGATGAGGAGGAGTTATGGTTAATTAAATTACCAGGAAATGTTAATAAATCAGATTTTAAAGGGTTAACAATTAAATTACCGGAAGAAGATAAGGGTAGTGATGATAGTGATGACGATGAAAGTGTCAATGATGGTGGTGCTAATGGTGTTAATGGCAGTAGTGGTAGTGATAGTAAGTTTAGTATAAAAAGTGTAGCAAAATTTAAGAAAACAATATCAGGTGATGAGTACAGTTTAAAAAAAGAACGATATGAATTTGAAGTGTTTCAACTTTTGTCTTCATCACGAGATGATAGTGATGATGATGATTATAATGATATTGAAGACAACTATCAAGAAGATGATAATATTAATAGTATTAGTAATAGTAATAATCAAATAACATTATCAAATCATAAATTAACGTTAAAAACAATGAAAGAATTTGAAATCTTATTACCAAATCCTAAAGGAGCAGATGGTGGTTTGACATTATCAAAAAGAAAACCAGATCGTTACTTTAATGTGCAGCTTAATTACAATCTGTCCAATACTAAAAATAAAATTAATAATGGTGTCGATAAAGAGGGTAAAAGTGATAATATGTTGTCAAAAATACCCGAACATCCACCAGAAATATATATTGAAAGAAAAATCGTAACACCATATCAAGAAATCAGGCAAGAATATATGAAATGTTATGAAGCTGAACATAATAAATATTTAGAGAAGTTAGAAAAGAAATGGAAGATTAGTAGATGGAATAAAAGATTTAAAAAACATGTTAAAGAAGAGAAAAAAGAAATGAAGAAATGGCGCAAAGAATTTCAAAATGCTGTAATGAACTCACAAAAAGAATTTTATGAGAAACTTGGAGAACTTAAATTGGAGGGGAAGGAAGTTAAAAAGGAAGAGGAGGATGATACTAATACTTGGCTAGAAAATTTAAAACGTAAATTGGATGATGATGATGATGATCATAGTAATGATGATGATGATGATGGATTTGAACAATTATTAAATCTAAAGAAAAATCAAGAAAAGAAACGGGTTAGAAAGGAAAAGGAAGAGCAAACAAAAGCATTAGAAACTTGGAGACTTGAATATTCTGGTCTACCTAGATATAAACCACCAGAAACATGGTGGGCAAAAAATAGAGATAAGATCATGAAGGAAGCCATGAAGAAAATTCCACCAAAGAAGCAAAAATAAATCTCAATGCTAAATCAATCAAAAACAAAATAAACAGCAAGTATATACTTTTAAATATTTTATTTTATAATTTACATTTATATAAATTTTTTTTTCAGATATTCAAAATGTTATATTAAAGTTGTGAAGAAAATTAATGAGAAACCAAATTATGTAGATAAGTAATAATACAATTAAAATTGGTAGATTTTCAGGTGGCAGATTAGACGATTTTGCAGTTAGAAAAACATTAAGATAGATGCAAGAAAATTGTTACTAAAAAAAATATATTATTAAATTATTTATTTAAATTTTTTTATTAATAATTTTTACATAATTACGTTGTGATCTTGATCCTTTTCCACCACCAAGAATGACATTGGAGGAGCAATCATTTATATTTGTATTAATATAGTTTTTAACTATCATTATTTTTATTAAGGTAATAATAATTAGTTTAATTTGATTTTGAATATATATCAGTCAGACAAGATTTCACGCTTACTGATTTTACTATGTGATCGACATAGCACGTTTTCCGTACAATTTTTATGCTTCTAAATAAATAGAATCTTGTGCTTTTGCTCGTTTAAATTCAATTTTTTACTTGTCAATAGCT